ATATAACAAAGATGTACCTCTGTAACTTGAATGCAGAATCTTTGATCAGAATGGCATTTGTGGCTTTTTAACTTGCCTTCCCTTTTTCGTGATCAAACATTTTAGTCGTTGGGAAATCCTGAAACTTCACCATCACAATTCACAATCCGCTTTAATTATTTGCTTAACATTTAAAAAAGTGGGGGGGGGGATTCAATAGCCCAACCCACCACAAAAGTAGGGGTGGGGTATAAATCCACCACCCCCTGGGATTTACGCCGATGCTCCCGACCAACGCGGCTATCAACCGATGATCTGTGATCCGAAAGCTGGGTCGTGATATTCACGCACAGGCCGACCCTGGTGCCAGTAAACCAATGTCGGATCACTAACCGCAATCCGGATCCGTGTGCAACAAAAGGGCCCACTGTTCAGAATCAGGCTACGAGCGCGTTTGTTCAATCAAGACGGTTGCTATGCAACGTGTTAATCTCCTGCTGTTGCCTATGCTACAGCCTGGGCTGTCCCCGTGCATTTATGGGACCTTCCCGGCTGCGAGAAATCAGAACCAACTACGATTTCATAGAATGAGCCGATATTCAGGATGAAATGTGCCTCGATGTACTTATGACATAATTCGTGTGAACCGATCCTAAGGGATTATGCATACCCGAATTATACACGTCTCTTGTTATAGCAACGATTTTCTGAGGTGATGTGAACCGTTAAGTTTTCGATTGAGGGCCGTTGTCAACACAAACGCACACAGAGACGTCACTCAGACGTTCTCCACTTTATCATAATCATAATGATCATAACATCTATGCACAAACTTTAAAGTGAATAATAAACTGCAAAGACCGATGTTTGTATTTACCTGATTGCCAGATTGAGAAAATGGACACCAGAGCCAGATTTTACCCCATGATATGCTGTGAGATTTAACATCACACCGTGATTAGACGTGACAGAGAGAAGGTTTGTTGTGAGCGATGTACTTTGGCCAGCTGTGTTGAAATGTACCAGACTATTAAAAATAACTGACGAAAAGCCCACCACATACAAGCGTGAACAATAGCGCACGTAGCAACTGACATCAATGGTTTTCGACAAACCCAAGCGTGCCGCAAGATATGAAGCAGGGAGCCACGATGCAGTGATTCTTGTGTAACCTTTAAGAGCAAACAATGACCCAATTTACCAGCCGTTTGTGTGTACGGTGTTGAGACGGATTTTCCCTGGAATATTTCGCGGCACAGATCTCCAACTAAACAACTCAGGTTGGGGTTATTATGCTTCTAAAAGTCCTTTGGTGTACACTAGAAGTGGTGTTGTCCAGCCCTTTTCTCAGCTTTGCTTTGCCCCCCTAGGAAACTTTCCCTGTGGGAATAAAAACTTTGGCCGTATTTGCATTTGCACCTAAAGAGGATGCACATATAAAACAAGCTTCATGAAAAATTTATTTCGAGTGGGTAGATTAACAAAGAAGTTTTTTTTTTCATCACACAACTGTCTGAGGCTACATCATGCACTTTAATATGGGAGAACGGTTCTTGAGAGGAGACTAGTTTCATGCTTCGGAAGCTTCCCCTGTTGAAATGTCGGACTTTAATATATTAAAGTCCGACATTTTTTCAAAGGGTATACCCTTTGAAAAAATTCTCCGGAGCCACGATTACAGCCATATTCAAGACAGCTTTCTCAGGCGTGTTGTGAAAAAATTCGCTGCCAGGATACGCTCTAGCCGTGTTGAGAGCTTGGTGAGTTAAGCCAAATTAGCCAAGTATGACGAAATGACCTTTCCGCTGATTACAATTACTCTGAACGTGTGGAGTGGAGCAGATAACTGGTATCCGTGCATGCACTAATGTGCTGGCTGTCAAAATTCGTAAAAAGAGGGCGCTGTTGCTACTTGAGAGCTTGGTTTGTACAAGGGCGCTGGTAACTGCTGATTTTATTTTTATTTATTAAAACATCAAATTCTCGTTGTAAAAGACCGAATTGTAATTTGATTTACAGGTAAACATTACTACTCAAATAAAAACTTTAAAATAAGACAACAGAATTATTAATTAGAAAGATATATGAACAAAGATACAAAAATTATGTTAAAAAATAAAACAAAATCAAATGAATGAAATACTCATTTCTCCAAGCGTTGCTTACAATTAGGTATTCGCAAGTGTATTCCATAGTTTGATAAACGATGGAATAGCACTCTAAGAGTACCTCGAAGCCTTTGTCTTGGGTTCAACAAACTGCCGTCTTTGTCCAAGTTCCATGGCATGAACTCTACTATTTAGAGGGAACCAACTTTTAAAACGATCAGAAACAAGGCTAGAGTAGTAGTAGTAGTAGTAGCTAGAGTTCTCATATTAAATTTAGACAATGCAAAATCAGCACGTAGAGTTATCTTGGTCCAGGATTACTTTAAAGGCCCGTTTCTGGATTGCTTTAATACACGATGCTCAATTTGCAGTAAGACCAGAATGTCACACAGGGACAGCATATTCTAAAACCGGACTGGACGTAATAAAATTGTCAAAAGATCATTCCTGGGACCTCCATTTTTTTGAGACGACTAAGAATATGAAGGTATCTAATACATTTAGCAACTATTTCCTGACCTTGAACGTCCCATGCCAGGTCATTCTGAATCCAAACACCAAGTTGTTTTCTTCGTTACGACATCAAGTAAATTATTGCCCATTTTCAAAGATGGCGGGCTAGGTGCACTTTTTTCAAAATAGAATTGCATAGTCTTGCATTTACATGTAGATGGTTGGGCTTATGTTTATTAATCTCAAACCAACAAAACAAATCAACAGTGTTGTTTTGCATAGATAAATGGCTGTCAACTGACCCAATCTCGTCCAAACTGAGGTCATCGACGTATTTCAATACACCTATGACAGGTGGAGTCAATGATATTTTTAGGCTTTTATTGGACAGATTTTGTTCGACAGAAAATGCTTAAAGACTGTTAATAAGTAAGTAAAATATTTTTTGTGTCTTGCATTTTTCGTCATAGAGAAGATCAGTAGTCTTCAACATGCTTGGATAGGCAAACCTAGACTAATTAAATTACACACCGCAGTGATTCCTTGCCAGAGATTAATAGCAGCTATTTCTCCAAATTAAGGNCCCCCTGCGATACTGGGGTCCAGAATTTATTATTGTGTGAACTTCAGTTTCAACTTTTATCGTTTGCCTGTTTCTATTCAAAAGGTCCACACCCTTTCCCAGGATCGTGGTGTTGACTGCTGACCGGTTAAGCAAACTTAACCAAGTATGTCGAGATGATCACTTCCTCTGATTGCGATTACTCCGAACGCGTGTGGGGGCGGGGCATGATAACTGGTTTCCGCTCACACGTTGGATTTGGGACGCTATCCACATTTGTAAAAAAATAAAAAGAGGGCGGTGTTGCCACTTACCAGCTTGGTTCGTACACTAAGCGTGCTGGTAACGGCTGATATCTTCAGGCTTTCATTGGACAGATTTTGTTAACCAGGAAGTGCTCTAAGTATGGCAATAAGCTACCAAAATGCTCTCCGTTTCTTCAGTTTTTCGTCATAGAGAAGATCAGTCGTGTTCAACATGCAAGGATAGGCAACAGAACTAGCAAACCTAGATTTTTTAAATGACACACCGCAGTGATACCTTGCCAGAGATTAAGAGCAGCTATTTCTCCAAATCGAGTAGATTTGGCATTATTAGAGCTTATCAGAACACCGTGCTGATTGAGTGAGTTGTCGCACCAATTCCTGCCAATGTTTCGTCAGAATCTGGCCCTCTTTGCACTTGACGGCCGGCACTGTCTGAAGTGTTGCCGGTAAGGAGCAGTCGCGGAGCACGACGGGTAAAATGTACTCTCGGGGCCCGCCCCTGTGATTATTGGCCTCGAACAAAGCCTGTTCGACGGCAAACCGCTCCCACCCCACGCTCTTGGGGATGGTGTCGTCGGGGGAGGGGTCCAGAGGGTGTGGAGTCAGGATGATCACAAACTTGTAGCTGCACTTCAAGCAATCCACAAACGCCTCAGACACGTACCGCCCACCTTCGACGTCCCTTGACTGCATGCAGCCTACGAGTCTGTGTTCCGTCTCCAGCTTCTGCACGAAAACCTCTGCCCATCGACTGTCCCTGTCCGCGTGCCACACGAAGAAGTCGTACCGGTAGGTACACTTACGCAGCGTGCTGTTCTGCTCGGGGCGAGGAGGTGCCACGAAGTGGTAGTCCTCGAGAATTCTCACGTAGTTGGGTTTCTCCACGGTGCTGTAGTAGTCAAAGTCGTCGTTGAAGTAGGCCGAGTGGTGGTCTTCAGCAAGGGGTGTTCTCAAGATCTCCTCTCGGACCCTTTCGGCCTCTGCCCGTTGCAGACTGCTGCCTTCCAGGTCGTTAAACTCCTCCAGACACCGAGCCCATCGCTGGTGGTTCTGCACTGGGTCAAAGTATTCGTCATACTCACTGTCTATGGCATGAGCAAAATTGGAGATGGCTTCATCGATGCACCCTTGGAGAAAATAAATATACCCTAGGTCGGAGTAGTCTCCGGGATACTTCCCTATTTCCAAAGCACGGGTGAAATTTTCAGCAGCCGCCTGAAGGAAATCTCTTCCCTGCTCTGTTTGTTTGTCCTTTTCAGATCTGCTATAAATGCCTAAGTACATGACGCCAAGATGCCGATACACAAATTGCGATTCGAGTTTGCCAAGTGACTTCTCTAGCAACGGCTTGGCCTTCTGATATTGTCCTAGCTTGACGTACTCAGAACCAACCCTACGGATGACCGCGTGATACTCTGGATGCATCTCCAGGCCCTTTTCTAAGCACTGTTCTGCTGTGACGTGATGGAGTTCTGGCACATCTGGAAATGCCATGGCGATGCTTCTGTGGTCTGGGTCATTATTGACAAGGATGCCAAGGAACACCCAGGACAAAGCTTGGTAATCCCTTGAGGTGCTGGTGCGGGCGACTTCCATGAAATAATGACAGGCCTTCTTGAATCCACGCAAGATTCGCTCGTTGCAGTACCATTCAGAATGGCTTGGGACGAAGGAAGCTTCGCCTGCAAGTTCCTGAAGGTACAATACCTGGAGGTCTCTCTTGTACAAAGCCAGAGCGTAATCAAACAGCCATTCTGCTCTCTGTGGACCGTCGCAGTCCCTCCCAAGAGCCACCGCTCTCTCGATAAATCTCATGTAACGAAAGCATCGTTTTTTCTCCAGGTGACGAATAGCGTGGGCTTTATCCGCATAGGCCATGGCTCTCTCAGCTTTAGTACAATTTCTCGACAACAATTCCATAAGCTTGCCGTAGTATTTTCTGTACTTGTCAAACTGATAGAGCTTTTTGTGCAGGAAAGCCAAATTTCCCAGGGCGTTGATGTTTCTCTCATCCTTGCCCAAGACATCTTGGAAGAACGCTTGGGCTTTCTGGTGGTTGTTGAGGTGGAAGGCGATGAACCCTTGTAGATTGCCGATGGCCGTGTAGTAGGTTGGACGGTCGTTGAAGTCCCACTCTTCCTTGGCAAGGACCTCTTCCTCCAGCCGAAGAGTTTCCTTATTTACCACGCAGGGGCGCAGCTCAGGCCAGCTGAGGTGGCAGCCCAAGGATTCCGCAGTCTCACTGAGTAGACTCTCATTGGCCATGCAAACTGTGTAGCNTTTGACTTGCACTCGATGCGTGGAAATTCAAGACCAAACAGCTTTGTTAAAATTGTTTCGTTCCGTTTGTGATGTCCCATCGCTTGGAAGAAGTAGTCTAAACAATCTTACGACTATGGTTCAGGGAGGGGTAGTGCAGTTTCTCACACGGCTGTAATTCGGCCGGCACTACAGAAAAATCAGTTTTATGACAACGTATTCCTGACAGACGCAACGTAGGGCAGTTTACTTTGTATTTAGCCAATGTAGCTGCTGTTGCCGGAGACTGCGGTTAATGACGCTGTGACTTGAGAAATCCAACGAGGTTTAACGAGGAGCCATCTGTCTGGAAACCACGGCAATCTTGGACCCTGCATGACAATGAAACACAACTGCAAAGTCCACGAAAACAAAGACGGAATGCAACAGATCACAAGAAGACTATTTTATAGTCAAATCGAAAACGTGAGAGTTTTTTTACACCATTCACTGGTAAATTTGCCAACGATAATTTTTACAAGAGTGCGATCAGTGATCGCTCTTTGAAAGTGTTGAAGCCAACGTTTTAAGCTTTAGATCCAACATTTTAAATTTAAAATCCAGATTTAAAGTGCTGATTCAAAAAGATGAAGGGAAAATGTTGAATTAAAGCTTAAATTATTTTACCTCCCTAATTGTTGGATTTGACATGCGAAGAACATGTACTGTGCTTAACATTTATAAAATGTTGGATTCAGCACTTTCAAAGAGTGATCACTTATTACACTCCTGGAAGTGTTGGATTCACACTTAATTCAGTTTTTAGCGTGTTGCAAGAAATCGTGGTTATAAATTCTTGTGGAACTTTCTGCCCTGTTTGCGCACTCAGTTGTCTGGGCCCCGGACAAGCGAGGAATCGTGGTAAGCTTATTCATTTTTTTACCGTGTTGTGCACGGAATTTGTGTTTGTGCTATCGTAGCACGGAGGTAAAAAACGCAGAACATTGTGGTTACCTTAGTCACGAAATTGTAGAGCGTTTAAAAAAGCACGACATGTCTGATGACCCCTTTGGTGAACCCAGACTGTCGGTACGCGACGCGTTCATCCCCTGCTGTTGTACCTGCAACTGCGGACACAAAGCCATCCGGTGATTCATGGTACTTTCCCAGCGCGCGATGAATCTGCGCTGATTTGGGCGGGAAATAATTGTCTCATGAATTTGAGCCACGTATAGCCATTGCAGGGTTAGCAAAAAGGGCGAAGAAAGGTTTAAATACAGAAGAAAAGAAATGGTAAGATCAGTTCAAGCAAGCACTTCACACGAAACACTCGTTATCAGATTTTAAGTTTTCAATATTAAAAAAATTGAAGCACAATGAATAGGATATGCTTATAAATAAGGTTGAAGCCAAACACTCTCGAGGAGGAGAATTCTGACAGTTTTGGAGCACAGGTTTTCAGAGCATTTTTTTCAAAATCTCATTTTCCCCCCTGGACGTCAGCTTCTCCAATGAAGCATATACCATTTTAATACAGCAAGGACAATTCAAAATAAAAGTGGAAGTAATGATATTCCACGACTATTAAATTAAACCAATAACACAATAAATTATGACGTGTGTACGTGTCTAATTCGTGCGAACTAACTAATCCTTCTAAGGCGTTCTGTACTTGGATGACACGTCTCTAGTTTTTAGCAGCAATTTTCTGAAGTCACGTAGAATTTTTCGATCGGGGCTGTTGACAACACACTACGCGGACATGTCACAGTGCATGCCTGTCTCACGATGTCAGGTATGGTCCGAGTGACGTCAGTATACACAAAATCGTGCAGGTAGTTGCTCTATACTCAAACGTTCTCCCCTTTGTCACTGATTATAATAATCACAATGCCCATGCACATACATGTATTTCAAAGTGAATAATAGAAAGTGTAAAGATCGATGCTAGTATTTACCTGATCGAGAAAATAGACACTAGAGCCAGATTTTCCATGATGCTACACAGATTTAACATCACCATTGGGCCGCCAATTTCACTATGATTACACACGGCGGAGAGTTTGTAGTGAGCAATGTAGGTCTACTCTGGCCGTTGGGGTTTTTACCTGGTCCAGACAACCGAGGAGTTGACCGTCACAGGTATACCCAGCAAGAAATGAGACCGAGGGGTACCCCCCAACATGTCCAATCCCTATACACGTTCCAGACTATTGTTACTTAACACATCCCCCCAAAGATGTCTGAAAGGAATTCCCCAGATTCCTGCGAG